GAGCGTCTCATAAACCCAGCTAGTGTCCTTCAGCTTGCCCCTAAAGTGTTCTAAATTAGAGTTTAGGAAATGAGGAGAACAAGGAAATAGTTTTACATCGTGTATGTTCTTGTGCGCGTGTCAAGTTGTTAGTACACTGAAAAAAAAAAAAACATGTTATTTATTTATTTGGACAAAAAATAGTTTTTGTCAAATTATATTCATGGTTTGGTTGAAACCTTACATTTTGATTTAATATTAATGAAAAATATTTATTTTCCCAAAGACAAAAACATTCATACAAAGTAAAAACATTATTTATTATAAACATTATAGTTAGTCAATATATTTAAGCCAAAAATGTAACTTAATATAGGTCAGTATATTATTTTTTGGCTTTATACAACTAAATTTAACCATAAACATAAGGGAAAAGCTTAGCTATATGTACTTAAAAAACACACTGGAAAAAATTAATTAAAAAAAAAATGAATAAATAAAATTAATAATTTCTGCAGTCAGTAAAGCTGTCCAGCATGTTTAATGAAAATTAAGCAAAAATACGAGACAAAAAGAAATAAATGAAATAAAAAGATAAAATGTAATGTAAGTAAATATTAATTAATATTTACTTATATTACATTTTATGTATATTTTTGTTTTTATTCTTATTTTATTTATTTATTTATTTATTTATTTACTTCTATGGGAAGTATGATTTGCTTTTAGACGACAAAATGAAAAGCAGGTTTAAACCAGAAAGCATAATTCTCAATTAGACCAATATAAAAATGCACTTTAAAAAAATAAACGACACTGTCATTTCCCTTTTTCCATTGTCTTGTAATCCAGTTCTGTGTTTGTTAGTTGTGGATGACACCTCGCTCCACTGCCATATAATTCATCATACTGTCCCAAAAGAGTTTGTGTCTTACATAATATCACCGTCATCTCAGTGACCCTGGGGAGAGTCGCATGAACAGCTGCTGTCTTCACTCCAACTAGAGCTATCGCAAGAAAAAAGCTTCAGTTCTTGAGCATTTCCAGCGATTTACACTTCAATACGTTTTCAATACCATTTGTGGGTCTTTATTTACTTCTATGGGAAGTATGATTTGCTTTTAGACGACAAAATGAAAAGCAGGTTTAAACCAGAAAGCATAATTCTCAATTAGACCAATATAAAAATGCACTTTAAAAAAATAAACGACACTGTCATTTCCCTTTTTCCATTGTCTTGTAATCCAGTTCTGTGTTTGTTAGTTGTGGATGACACCTCGCTCCACTGCCATATAATTCATCATACTGTCCCAAAAGAGTTTGTGTCTTACATAATATCACCGTCATCTCAGTGACCCTGGGGAGAGTCGCATGAACAGCTGCTGTCTTCACTCCAACTAGAGCTATCGCAAGAAAAAAGCTTCAGTTCTTGAGCATTTCCAGCGATTTACACTTCAATACGTTTTCAATACCATTTGTGGGTCACTAATTGAATATAGATTAAGTGTTTCTGATCATTAAAAACGCTACAGCAGAAAAAAATAGAATTTGAATGTTGTTAACTGAATTTTTCACCAATTAGTAGCTGCAGTAGCATCAGTTCTTGCAGAGACTCTCGCGTACAGAATGACAGTGTTGAAAACAGCTGTGCTGTCTTTTGATGAATAAATCGTTCAAAAGAACAGCATTTATTTGAAGTATTTATTTTGGTCACACTTTATTTTAAGGTTCAACTCTCGCTGTTAACTATTAACTATGACTTTTGCCTCAATAAACTCCTAATTTGCTGCTTATTAATAGTTAGTAAGGTAGTTGTTAAGTTTAGGATTAGGGATGTAGAATATGGTCATGCAGAATATGTGTTTTATAAGTACTAATAAACAGCCAATTTGTTAATAATAGGCATGCTAATAAGCAACTAGTTAATAGTGAGAATTGGTCCCATTGGTTTTTGTACATTATTTTAGCATTATAAATTTGCTGTTGCATTGATCAATTTAATGCATGCTTGCTGAATAATAATAAAAAAAAAAAGTTGGGACCTTCGTCCCAACATTAGACACAAGTGGCTGAAGATTACTTTTTAACACCATTCCTGGTCATTTCAGTCAGATTTTTAACCTTTGTATTTTTGTTATATTTTTCATACATTTTTATAAAGTTTTCATAAAAGCCTTAAAGGTACAGTAAAAAAAAAAATACAAAGAGCTCAGAGAGTGGATAAAAAATGATCTTAAAAACTACTGTTTTGGCACAAAAACCTTGTCTTAAATCATAAGCACAGTATTTCAAGAATATAAGAGGTGTATATAAGTTAGTTGAGACTATTTTAAGAAGTTATTGACAGTTGTGTGTACAGCTACAATTATAAGATCTGCTGAAACCTGTTAATATCCACATATGAAGCAATATCAGCTTAATAATGAAGGCATAATTAAAAAAAAATAAAATTTTAGTCAGTGTCTGTGTTACAGCGTTTAATGTCAGGTGATCTTGTCTGACTTTAACATTCAGAGCTGTTAACTATTAACTATGACTTTTGCCTCAATAAACTCCTAATTTGCTGCTTATTAATAGTTAGTAAGGTAGTTGTTAAGTTTAGGATTAGGGATGTAGAATATGGTCATGCAGAATATGTGTTTTATAAGTACTAATAAACAGCCAATTTGTTAATAATAGGCATGCTAATAAGCAACTAGTTAATAGTGAGAATTGGTCCCATTGGTTTTTGTACATTATTTTAGCATTATAAATTTGCTGTTGCATTGATCAATTTAATGCATGCTTGCTGAATAATAATAAAAAAAAAAAGTTGGGACCTTCGTCCCAACATTAGACACAAGTGGCTGAAGATTACTTTTTAACACCATTCCTGGTCATTTCAGTCAGATTTTTAACCTTTGTATTTTTGTTATATTTTTCATACATTTTTATAAAGTTTTCATAAAAGCCTTAAAGGTACAGTAAAAAAAAAAATACAAAGAGCTCAGAGAGTGGATAAAAAATGATCTTAAAAACTACTGTTTTGGCACAAAAACCTTGTCTTAAATCATAAGCACAGTATTTCAAGAATATAAGAGGTGTATATAAGTTAGTTGAGACTATTTTAAGAAGTTATTGACAGTTGTGTGTACAGCTACAATTATAAGATCTGCTGAAACCTGTTAATATCCACATATGAAGCAATATCAGCTTAATAATGAAGGCATAATTAAAAAAAAAAAAAATTTTAGTCAGTGTCTAAGTGTTACAGCGTTTAATGTCAGGTGATCCTGTCTGACTTTAACATTCAGAGCAAAGAAGAGGCTAGAAGATACAGTTGCCATAGAAACAGCTTCATCCTTTTCGTCACAGCCGTACAAATGTTTCAGCTCATTGTCAAGAGAAATGTCCTCACAAAAGTCTCCTCTGGTTGTGTTTTCATACATACAAACCTACTCACACAGAAAAAAAAAGTTCACCTAAAAACTTGCCATTCACAGAAAACCAACAGAAAGTGAATCTCTGGTTTCTCTTAGTCAGACGTGTCACTGGCACAGGATCAAATCTCATGTTTCTATCCTAAAGCTATCCTCTCATGTTTTCTCAAGAGAGTGAGCTTGAGTTTGATGAGTCACCGTCTCATTATTTTCTCCGTGTTTGACTCAAGAGCTTGTCTCATGTCACCTAAATAGCTCATTATATAAGCTTTCCACAAACTGTCTCTGTGAATAAATACTTCATATTACAGCCTCTATATATATATCCCTGACCTTTTGACTAAGATGTGCTAAAGTAAACCTTTTCAATTAAATAAAATAATGTCACTGCAGCTAATTGATGAAATTAATGGTGTAGAGATTGACAGCAATCTTTACACCTCATGACTCCATTATGACATATTACAAAATACCAAAATCTGCAGTCAAAAACCAGATATTTAAATGTTTCATCAAATGATCCACAGGCTACAATACTATAGTAACATCAAGTTATTTGAGAAATTCTAAAGCCGCCTACATTTTAAGGTCATTGGTGTTTGTTTGATGCTTTAGCTGTAGTGTTAATTTTGTCAGCTATTTTCATTTTAGTCTTAGTCTTAGTCTCGGGCTAAAATGTCCTTGTTAGTTTTTATCATATTTAGTCAACCTTATCCTATTTAGTTTTAGTCTAGTTTTAGTCGACTAAAATCTCAACATTTTAGTCTAGTTTTAGTCCAAGAAAACCCGACGTATTTTAGTCTAGTTTTAGTCCAAGAAAACC